AAGCTGACTGAGCCACAATAGCTGGCGGTGCATGCTGAATGGGCAATAAGGCTATAGAGGCCTCATTTGTGCCCTGCCTAGACACACACAGGGCTGTGTGGAGAGGTCTGGGAGACCCAGCAGCATTACTCAGGAGACCAGAGCCTGCTCATGACCAAGTCAGCTGGTCAGCCAGTGTGTTAGTCAGCACTCCGTGTGACAAAATGCCTGCACTGGCTATTTTTGTCAGCTTGACCCAAGCTAGGTCCCCTGGGAAGAGGAAACATCAACCGAGGAATTGCCTCCATCGAGTTGGCCTGTGAGCATATCTGTGGGGCATTTTCTTGATGTCAGTTGATGTAGGAGGTCTCAGCCCACTGTGGGCGATGTCATCCCTAGGAAAATGGGTGTGGACAGTATAAGAAAAGTAGCCAAGCCAACACACACACACACACACACACACACACACACACACACACACACAAATAAGTAATTTGGATTTTTTTTTAAAGTTTAGAGAGAAAGCTAGGAGGCAGCCCAGAAGGAGAATGTGTGGCAGTTCCAACTAGCTATAAGCACTTCTGCAATCTGTTTATCAAGTAGGCCCAGGTCAGATCGAGTGACAGGAGACAGCCAATGCGCACTCCTGTCTTTCTCCTACTTCCAGCACCTGGGTGTTGTGAGTGTGTGCAGACAAGCAAATGTCCACATGGCACAGTGTTTCATGCTCACTGTGGACCCCCTGCTGTGGTGGACACGTCCTCTCTGACTCAGGTGACAGTCCCTCAGCAACATGTGCGGCACCAGGCACCTGCAGCAGCTGCTCTGCCAAAGGGACTGGGCTCAGCTTGAGTTAACATCTTCATTGTGTGCGGAGGTCCGCACCCGGCAAAGGTGCTGCCGACTCGAAGGAGCAGGTGGTTCTCTTTGGGGCTCTGACATCTTTGCTTCCATAGCCCACGTTCTCACTGTCCTCGGTGAAGCCATAATAGAACTCCCTTGCATGCCACTCCAGGGCCCGCACATCTTCTGAATTGGTACAGAAGTCCAGAAGAGAGGAAGAGGGCCCTACAGCCCAGAGAGGGAAGGACTTTCCCAGGACATGCAGCTCTGAGTGGAACTTGGCTGAGGCCTCTTGTTTCCTTGTGTTCTAAGCTTCCAAGGAAAACAGATATTTATTTCCTTAGTTCTGTAAGCAAGGCTGGCTGACAATGGCCGTGCTATCTGTAGCTACAATAAATAAACATTTGCCATTAACAAACAAATATATATATATATATAAATATATATGGAGAGAGGAAGAAGAAGAGGGAGAGTGATAGAGAGAAGGAAGGAGGGAGGGATAGATGAGAGAAAGGGAGAGAGAGAATATATCAAGTTGAACCCTCTGGCCTTGGAGGAATCATAAGTACCGAGCCATTTGAGTTGTGAGGAAGGGGGTGCTTTATTGCTAACAGGAAACGTGGCAAGGTCTAATGACCTGGTATCTGTTTCTCTATGCTTAAACATTAAAACATAATAATAAGGAAGAAAAGTAGGAAAGTAAGCAGGGAGGCAGAAAGGAAGTATAACCTTCCTGGAAAAAAAAAATGAAGCTATTCTGATCAGGCACTTGTGCATTCAGGCTGTTGGGGCCACGGTCCCCAAGAAACTGGACTCTGCTCAGGAGCCATTGCTGGCTAAGAGAAGCACAAGCTGGGGCCATGGAGCTGGCCAGAGAGGGTTTCCACAAAGTTGTAGAACCAGAGCCAAGACAATGATGTGTCAGTAATGGTAGGACCACTCGTTGATGAGACCTGCTTAGTTTTCATGCCTCTGGCCTTCTGTTTAACCCTAGACCTTCAGTCAGAACCCCAAGATAGATTGGGGGTCATTGGGGCTCTTTATTTGTTCCTCTTCCCAATGTGGCTGTTCTGATTAAATCTATTTTCTGCTTTCTTCTTTTCACCGTGACTTGTCCGTCAGGGTTGGGTGGGTGAGCCTGGCTTGGGCTGCCAGAGCCCAGGCTCTGACCCTAACAACAGAAAAGAAAGGAAGGGAGTGACGAGAGAGGGGAGGAAAATTCTCCAACTGATGGGTAGGCTTGAGTGTCCCTGGGACCCCGTGCCATCTCCATGAGCCTGAAAGATGATTGACTCTCTGGGGATCTGGGGAGAGGGCCAAAGAAAGGAGGCTGTTGGAGGTGTGAGCAGGACCAGGGCTTTAACGGCCTCACCTCCACAAGCTTGCCCTGCCCATGTCTCAGGAGGGTGACTTTAAGAGAGTCCCTTGGAAGCTGTGAAACAAGAATGGCAGACACAGGAAGAACAGTGAATCTTAGGGCCGGGCTTGAGCAAATGTCCTGGAAATTACCCTCTTCTGGTCACCTGGAGGACGTGTGGAAGGAGGGTGGTTCAATAGGGTGGCCTGACTGGCAGAGAAGCATCTGGTCAGCAGAGGAGGCCAGCCCAGCGATACACAGCCCACACCCACAGGACTTCACCTGCTAGGATTCACTGCGATGGCCCTGCAGGCGAGCATGGGCAACTACAAGATGGGACCCAAACCCGTCCTAAGAAAATCAGCCAGCGTTATGACACAGTCTCTTGGGTCAGACTTCTTGTCTTTGTGACCTCTCCATTGGGAACACAGACCCTTCCTTTCACAGATAGGAAGCTGGGAGAGTTTCGAAAAATGAGTTGACCCATCTGGACTTCATCTGTAGAATGGTGTAGCAATTGTCCTTTGCCCATACTGGCCCTACAAGAGGCAGACAGTGAGGGTCACCTAAGCTGGTGCTCCCCAAAGATGGTCAGGGTTACCTGACTTGGGAACTGACTGGGAATGCCATGGACCCACCAACTCAGTCGCTCTGGGGAAGGGCCCAGCAGCCTATCTGGAAGACCTCCAAGGGCCGACACTGATTGAATTTGCTTGGCGCTTTCCAAGGCATGTACTACCAGCACCAGCACTGTCCACCCCACCCCATCTCAGCTAGTGCTTGCTTTCTTAAGCAAGTAAGGGACAGAGGTTTTCGTCTCTAAGAAGAATCAAGATTCTAGCACGAATCCCCACCAGGCTGTCATCATCCCTGAGATGCAGTCACCATGACAGACGGGTCAACTGCCACAGGGCCTGGCTGCCCATTAGCCGCAGTTTGCAGAGGGTGAGGATTTCAATGACCCGGGTCACAAAGGAGGAGTACGATGTATGAATGGTCTGGACCGGGCTGCCTCATCCTCCCTGCTTGTGTGTGATATTAACATAATGTCCCTTGCAAAAGTGATTAGAGTCACAGACAGCGAATGTCATTAGGTAACTACATCCTGCCTCCACCAGCCACGATGACTAAACAAGGCTAATTCAATCAGCACCAATTTGCACACAAGCCCAGCAGCTGGGCCCAGAGCACCATGACTACAGCAGAATCCTGCAGTGGTGGTGGGAGGGGCTGTGGGGAGCAGCTCACCCCAGGGCGCTGCCTGTATAGAGGGCAAGTCTGTATAGAGAAGGTTGCTTGCACCCTTGGAAAGCCATTGTCTGTGCCCCTGCAAGGAATAAAGGTAGCAGGAAACAGCAAACAGGGCTGGCATGCCAGCCTCAACAGTCTTACTGTGCAGTTGGGGGAGGGGTCATCCCCCAGGTGCATCCCCCATGGTTTCCAGAGAAGCTAGCTTGGAGGTCACCTTCATCCAAGTCTCTGTTCTCTCATGTGCTATATATAGTTCCTTGAGCCCTCAGACACTTGAGATCTCTTGGCTCAATGTCCCTGTTGATAAATGGGGTGAGGGTCTAGTTCTCACACCTGATGCTGTGGGGAGAATTAACAGGTGACACAGCCAGAGTTCTGAGAACAGAGCTGTCATTGCTGCTGTTCTTGCCCATGAAATGTCACCATGGACCTTCTTGTGCATCAGGACCAGGCTCTGGGGATGTCAAGTCTGGGATGTCCCTATCCTTGCCCTCAAGGAACACATAACAAAATGGGGTGACAGAGGAGTCATCTGTCCCGGGGTAGGTTCTGTGAGAGATGAACAGAATGAGGACCCAGGATCCAGTCGTAGAGGGGTTGACACTGCAGCTGAGGTTGGAAGAGCACATTGTACTCCCACGACAACCTAGACCTGAAGCTGGAGTCCCCTGGGGGCAAACAGGTACCTGCTGCAAAGGGGAGAAGCTGGCAAATCTTGGCCTCAATGTAGCTGTAGAGGTTCTGCAAGGCAGGGGGAGGGGTAACAGGGCAGTCTCCCGGACAGAGAGCACCTCCCTGCCATGGGACTTCCTAAGCCCTCCTACAGCTGTGTAAGAGAAGAGTGACAACCAGCTCACAGCGTCCCACCTTGTCATCTGCCCTGTTGTCACAGCTGCTGCACCCTACAGCGTTAATGCCCTAACGTTTGTCATTTAAATCCCTCACTGGAAAAAAATGCAAATTTTCCATCATGGAAAACTAGTACCTTTGGCCACTGACAGGTATGTGTAGAGGAAGTGAAAAGGAAACCAAGTCACATGCTGCCAGCCCGATGCTGTCACTTCCTGCAGACTCAGGGAGGTTGGGATGGGGTGGGGGTCTGGAAAGCTAGAAAGCTGACAGGTGTTGGAGATGTTCATCTTCGCCCTGTCCCTGGGGAGATTTCTTCTGTACAGCCACATGGTGACCTGAGGAGGGATGCAGCCCTCCCTGGTCGCTTCCACAGCCGTTGGTAACGGGATGTGCACTGCCTCCGCCATGTTCTTGTATTGCACAGGTAAACCCACCTACTGCACAGGTGTGCACTGGCCTCTGTTCTTGTAGTCACGGGCAGTGACCCACCCCCTGGTCCCATGCTTTGGGAACTGCTGGCCATCGTAACCTTGGCAGCCATACTCTTTCCAGTGCTGTGAATTAGAACTGACTGTCGGGTCACTGCCCAGGGTCTGCCAGGACCCAGCCTCTATGGACGTCCTGAGAGGTGCTGGACACAGCCACAGTGTCCCTAGCGTGACTCCGTGGGCGGAGCTGTGGAGAACGGCTGACACATTCTGATGCAGCTCTTCACAACACAGCCCTGTGTCTCCTAGCCATGTGACAATCTGAAGGAAGTCACATGAGCCACGAGCCCCAGTGTCCTTCGGCTGACTCTCTCAATGCTGTGAGAATTAACCAGAAACTGATTCCCTCTGGTGCTGATTCCTGCTGCTCTCACGGAATTCACTCTGCAAACGGTCAGGTCCTTGTATTTAATTTTTATCTTCTAAACAACCTTCACATAGAACGTAAGGATCTGGAATTAAGCCTGGGGGTGGGGAGGGTGGCCATGAAATGATTCTAAAGGAGTTTGAGAACCGGGGAGGACACAGGGTTCTACTAAGGGAGAAGCCAGGCCCTGGAATGTCCTAAACCGAAGGTCAAATACTTGATAAGGAACAGGTATTTATTTAGCTCACTGTCTAGAGGCTGAAAGTCCCCACAGCATGCCACCAGTTTTGGCACATCACCTCCTGGATAATGACACCATAGAGTTCCCCCAGCAAGACCGGAAGCCTGAGAGCTAGACGGGGCTGGTCTTACTCTTCCATAACAACCTCCTATGGAGAACTGACCAAGTTCCCACGAGAGGTAGGCCATGGCAGCAAGCATGTCCACCCACGTCTTAGTGCTTCCATTACCTACCATACCGGGTACCAACCTCCAGCACACAAGGCTTGGGGGCCACATCCACACCTCCACAACAGATGGTCATCCACCTCCTGCTCCTTCTCAGCCTAGCTAAACTCACTAGGCCCTGGAGGGAGTGCAGAGACCTCAACTCCCACCCTGCTACATACACACCATTGACTGAGGCCCATGTCACAACCTTAACAGACAGAAAAGATGAAACACAGATAGATATACACTTGTGAACGCCCAGCAGGGCTCAGCCCTGGTGTTAGGGAGGACATGAGATGCCAACGGTGAACCTGGGAGCCACAGCTACCCAGTCTCCAGCCTGGTGCAAATGAGCTGCCTCCCTGTGCCTCGGTTTCCTCGTCTGTAAAATAGTGACAGTGTAATGAGTCTTGCAAAGTCAAGCAGAGAACCGATTCACACAGTCTCAGGAGGACCCCACAGCTGGTGTTGTGGGTCTCTAAGGGCTCCTGGCTGTCTTTTCAATTTTGTACAGGCTTTCCTGAAGGTGAAATCAGGAAGGTGACACCGACTCTAGAATCAGGCCTTTTGCGGTCTGATAAGAAGGCAGCACCACCCTCCGTACCCACAGGAGACTGGCTCCAGGAGCCTCACAAATACCCAAATCTCCTTACACCCCCTCCCGTGCACTCTGACCTTCTCTTGCGGGTTTATAATCCCTGATGCAGTGTAGCTGCTGCGTAGGTGACCGCTTGGCTGTGTCATTTTGGGGACAGTGAGAAGGAAACAGACTTCAGCTCCTGTATGGGGGAGTTCTTTTTTTTTTTTTTTTAAGTACTTTCTATTTGCAGTTGGTTAAGTCCAGAGCTGCAGATCCCACAGAGGTAGAGGGTGACTGAGTAGCATGTGACCTGGATTAGCAGTTCTTAACCTCGCTGCACATTCCAGTCCGTCTGGGGAGGACGATCCCGCAGGAAGGCCTGCCCCGGGGCCAGCTGCTTCAGATTCCCTGGAGGTGAAATCCTGTGACTGAAAACCCAAAGAGCAAGCTTGAGGTCAGACAAAGGGCTGAAATCCAGCCCTTACAGCTATCAACATGGCCTTGGGCAAGTCATCCACCCACCCAAGCCTTGGTCTCTGTTGCCAAAGAGCAGCAGTGAATCCACGTCCTCCCAGTGAGGACCCAGAAATTCAGAGACAGCTGGAAAGAGCGAAGCCTCTGGTCAAGCCGATAGTTTCAAAATAACACTCAACCACGGCAAATCCATTGAGCCTCAAGGCCCAAGTGTTTTCTTCTGCAGTTATTTTGGTGCATTTGCTTGGTGTTTGCTAAGCCTCACCTTGCCATAGGAAAATTGTAAGAGCGCCAGGCACAGCTGCTTCACAAATATCGTGAAGTTATTCAAAGCAGGCCTCGCCTGCAAACCCGGATGCTTTTCTGGCTTGGTCTTCCACTGTTATTTTTGGAAGAAGGAGGGAGTCTTTGAATGGAACCGGGCACGAGCCCAGATGGAGAGGGAGATAACCTTTAAGAGGCACCCCTTTCCAGGAGCAGCTGCTGGCCTGTTTGGGGGATGCTCCTTTAGACCCTGCAAACCTACCCTGGCTGCAGAGACTCTTAGCTCATAATCCTTCGGTGCCTATGGGAGGAGGAAGGTGGGATGTTCCAGAATAGACTCAGGAAAGCTGGATTCCAAGTTCACTGGCCATGTGGCTGGAAGCAGCTGCTTCGACCTCCCCGGGCCTCAGAGACCTTCCGTACTCATGGCTACTGCTACTCATTCACCTCACTCGCTCCCGTTGTGGCTTCGGGGAGGCCCTGAGTCCCTTTCCTGTGTCCCTCACACATCACCACAGATTGGGTGTTTATTATCATGTGGTTCTGAGGCTGGACGTCTAAGCTGAAGTCCTGGGCAGCTCCAGGGTGTCTCCCTCGCTCCTCTGGCAGCCACGGTGGCTGCTGACATTGCTTGACTTGTGGCTGCGTGGCTCCGAGCTCGACCTGCCACCATTGCCTCCTTCTCTCCTATTGTCTTCTCCTCTGGGATGTGAGGAATCACCCAGAAAATCCAGGATGGTCTCATTCCCAGGTCTGTCTAACTCTGTCTTCTGTTGTTATGATTGAATACCAGAGACTGTTCTATAAAGAAGAGAAGGGCTTTTATTTAGCTCCCTGCTCCAGAGTCTGGAAAGTCCAGAAACACATCAGCCTGCAGGAAGGGCCTTGGACAGCATCACCATCATTAGCAATCATCGTCACATTCTCATTTTATATCTGAGCACTCTGGGACATTCATTCACACTCAGGTTGAGTGTCCTCAGCCCAAAATGTCTGGCAAATTTTGATCTTGGATTTCTGGCTTTTGGGGATATTTGCCTATGTGTCGAACTACCTCAGGAAAGGGGCCAACGTTTAAACGTGAATTCGACTTTTTTCAAAATATACCTCACGCAGAGCCTGGAGTTGATTTTATCCAATTACTTTGCTGCACCTGTTTCGGCTGAGACAGTCCAGGAAGTTAGGCGCGCGGATCTCCATCTGTGAAGTGACGTCAATGCTCCTTTCGGGTTTGGGAGGATTTGGAGATTTGGGGGATTTGACGCTTTCAATTTAGGATCACCCCATTTATAAGCATACAAAAAAAAAAACCCTGAATGACTATGACCACCAATACAAAGAAACAAATGGCAGGAGAGAAGAGAGGGAGTGTCAGAGCAAAGGGGAACCGCTATAATGTTCATGGGTTCGACCCTGGCTGAAGCACGTCTTGGAAGGTGGGAAACAGAGAGAAGAGGGGGTGCAGGGCAGCTGTGCACATCTCATCTCCACAGAGGACAGAGACGAGCCTCCTGCCCAGCCCCCCAGGGCTATGCGCCTCGCTCCCCCAGGACCAACTGCAGTGACCCACCCTCAGACACCTAGGCTAGTCTCCCAGAGTCCCACCTCATTCTCATCTCAGTGACCACAGGACACTCTTAACCCTTCTACTGAGTTCAGCTCCTGCACAGACCTCAGCCCTAGGCTCACCTTCCACCCCAGGCCCCAAGGAAACCTTCCTCATTTGGCTCCTGCCTACTGCCTAAGTCCCCCTGATTGCTCTCTGTACACCGGCTTTTCCCCAGTCCTCCTCTAGATAAATTCACCCATCTCTTATCAACGAACACGATTAAGGGGAGAAACTAAATTCCAGTCACATTTGCTAAATGTGTTAAGGAGTTTTATGTCAGGGTGACTGACTGCAAAATAGCATGGTGGTGCATGGGGGATGGAGGCGGGCATGGGGGATGGAAGAGGGCATGGGGGATGGAAGAGGGCATGGTGACAAGAAGGCAGGGGGCATCAGATTAATATACCTAGGCATTTTCTTTGTTTCTGTGTTGGGCATGCTACAAACAGGAATCAGTGGCTCCTGCTCTTCAATTGAACTAAACCTACTTTTCTCGGAAAGTGAAAAACAAGATCGATTTTGAGAGCACAGTGCCCGGGAGATTTTAAAAAGCACAAATCGTCCTAAGTCAGTGCAGGTGTCCTTGTAATGAGGACAGAGGGACAGTAGCATTTCTCCATCTGTCCATGAGCAAAAGTCGCCTGGGACCTACGAAATGAGATGCAGATTCCGGTGCCACAGGTAGGGCCTGAAGTTCTGCATTGCTGTTTTGTTTGTTTTTTGAGATAAGGTTTCTCTGTGTAACAGTCCTGGCTGTCCTGGAACTTGCTCTGCATTTCTAGCAAGCTTGGCCAACATTACATGCCCCTGGAGTAGCAGGGCTCCGTGACATTCCTGACACATGAGAGAGTCCAACTGCCCAGGTTAGCCATGTGCAGAGGGGATGCCCCACCCATCCTGCCGAATGGAATTCTCCTAGGTCACTAAGTGTTGTCAGGTGACCTCCTTGCCTAGCGTTGCCACCAGCACTAGCAGTAGAAAGTCCCTTTGTTTGGTATGCATCTCTCCTCAGGTTCGGTCAAGAAAAGGGAAATATGATCAACAAGGGAACCCTGGGGAGAAATAGGGTGAGGTGGGGTGAGAGTGGGTACAGGGCTTAGGTATTTTAGCCTTTGTAGATGTTTTCTCCCTGACCCAGAAGGAATCATTTCACCAGGACTAAAGTGGGAAGCTCACAAGGGACCAAAAGGCTTAGGTTGTGACTGACAGCCTCACTCACAGACTCTGACTTGGAAACTGGCCGTTGTCAGTCCCCTTTGAGCTTGCGTTTCCAGCCCAAGCATGATTTTGCCAGCACAGAAGCAACACCCTTTGCCTCTGCAGGTCGGGAATCTCAGAGGGGGCAGAAACAACTGGAACAGGCAATGCAGATCTTGGGAGCACCTCGCCCTGAACCTGCAAGCAGGAAGTGCAGGTGGGAACACAGGCTCCCCTGGTTTGTTTCACATTCCTCAGCTCCCCATTCCTGCCAGCTGGTGAGACAGGATTCTCAGAGGTCCCCACCCAACTGAACCCACCAGCCTTGGTGACACAGCACTGCCTGTGTGGGGTAGGGGCAACTGGTGCTGTAAGCTCTCCGTTCTGCCACAGCCCCTCTCCTGATACCTCCCCAATGTACTGTTTATCAGAGTTAGGAAGAATAGAACCATCCCCTCTTCAGTGAAGCTCCGAGCATCCTGGGACTAGAGGAGCAGGAAGAGATGAGATGCCCAGTCCCAGTGGCCTGGCTGCTATTGTTTTCCAAGTACCAGCTTCACAAGGGGCTGGAGGATGTAGTCTGGCAACTGTTCAATGTAGGTATACTTAAATAGTGAAAGGTTTGGGATGTGGTGTTCAAGAAGGATCCTGAGACAGATTACTGAGGAGCAAGGTGTTTATCCAAAGCATTTTTTAACTCCATGGACAGACAGAAAAGCAGCATGGCAGACCTCTGAAGAGAAGATTAAATTCCCCTGCTGTGTAGCAGCTTCCTGTTTAGTCTGAATTGGTGGGAACCGAAGTTGTTTATTCTTTTTTATTTTTATTTTTATTGAGCTCTACATTTTTCTCTGCTCCCCTCCCTGCCTCTCCCCCACTTCAACCCTGCCCCCAATGTCTCCTTGTTCCCAATCTACTCTGGAGATCTGGTCTTTTTCTACTTCCTATGTAGATTATATCTATGTATGTCTCTCTTAGGGTCCTCATTGTTGTCTAGGTTCTCTAGGATTGTGATCTGTGGGCTGGTTTTCTTTGCTTTATGTTTAAAAACTACCTATAAGTGAGTACGTGTGATTATTGTCTTTCTGTATCTGGGTTACCTCACTCAAAATAATGTTTTCTAGCTCCATCCATTTTTCTGTGAAATTCAAGATGTCGTTATTTTTTTCTGCTGTGTAGTACTCCATTGTGTAAATGTACCACATTTTCCTTATCCATTCTTCAGTCGAGGGGCATTTAGGTTGTTTCCAGGTTCTGACTATTACAAACAATGCTGCTATGAACATAGTTGAGCACATGTCCTTGTGGCACGATTGAGCATCCTTTGGATATATACCCAAAAGTGGTATTGCTGGGTCTTGAGGAAGGTTGTTTTCTAATTTTCTGAGAAATCACCACATTGACATCCAAAGGGGCTGCACCAGCTTGCATTCCCACCAGCAATGCAGGAGTGTTCCCTTTTCCCCACAACCTCTCCAGCATAAGTTGTCATCAGTGTTTTTGATCTTGGTCATTCTCAGAGTTGTTTTAATTTGCATTTCTCTGATGACTAAGGATGTTGAGCATTTCCTTAAGTGTCTTTCAGCCATTTTAGATTCCTCTGTTGAGAGTTCTCTGTTTAGGTTCAGTCCTCTTTCTCCACACAGCATGCTCTTTACCAACAGAGCCATCTCCTCAATGAACAAATCCCTCCACTGCTCAGAATCTTCTCTGGCATTCCACATTACTATGAAAATAGCATCTACACTTTCACCCAACCACACAGTTCCATGTACTGAATTGTGTCTCTGGCCGAACTCCTATGTTGAAGCCCTAATCTCCAGTGTGATTGTGTTTAGAAATACTCTTAAAGGAAGCAGCTATGGTTAGATGAGGTTATGGGGATGTGACATTAATCTGATGGTAGTCAAGGCTTTACCAGAAAAAACACCATTGCATTCTCTTTCTCCCTCCCCCTCTCTCTCTTTATATAAAAAGCTCCTCAAGGAGATCAAAGACCAAATGATCGTTTCTTCCTGAATCTCACATACCAGCTGTTCACATCAATGCACAACAGACATTTGTGTTGTATGCGGAGTGGTTGAGCAATCAGTAGGCATTATTCATGCTTTTGACACAGGAGGATATGTATATACATGTGCATACATGTGGCATGAACACCTATCTGCGTAGGGCTGTAGTTTGGGTGTTGACTGTCCTGCAGAAACTCACATGTTACAGCCCTGGTCCCCAGACTGGTACTGCTGAGAAGAATGGAAACGTAGGTGTGTCATTGGGGGCATGACCTTAGAAGTTGTGAGATCTCCAACCCTTTCTTTTCTTGTTTTTTGTTTCTCAGCAACAAGGTTGAATGGTTTGTCTCGACCACATCTCCTGCCTTGGTATATTACCTCACCAGACCCGAAAGCAGTGAAACCACTGGATCATGGACGCTAATCTGGCTCCAAATGCAAGTCAAAATAAACCTTTCTCATTATAAGTTGATTGTCTAAGGTATTTTATTATAATACTGGAACCGTTCCTAATATATACATGTAAATACATTCACCTCTTTATCTGTAAGAACATCTTCAACTATTTATTTCTGAGGAACCCTAGTAGCAGTATCATTTTTGAAGAGACCCAGGATCATACAACTCCCCTCTCTGTCAGAGTCCAGATTCCTAATTGTGCTACACTGCTTTGATGGTTAGTTTCAACTGTCAACTCAACACAATCTAGACTCAGCTGGGAAACAGCCCTTTGGACACATCTAGGGGGACATTTCTTGATTATGTTAGTTGAGATAGGAAGACCTGCCCACCGTGGGCAGCACTATTCCCTAGGAAGGGGGATTCTGAGCTGTAAGTCAGTGAAGAAAACGAGCTAATCACTAGTGTTCATTTCCTCTCTTCTCTTGACTGTGGGTGTGGTCGACTGCTTTAAGTTTCTACTGCCTTGACTTTTCATTGAGGGACTATATCCTGGAACTGTAATCTGATCAAATCCTTTCTCCCTTAAGCTGCTTTTGTGGGAAATTTTATCAAAGCAACAGGAGAAGAAACCAAACAGTCACCTCTTGGAATTTTTGGTATTACCCATAGAGAGGAGCCCAAGAATTTAAGAGATTTTCTCGTCCAGAAACCACAAAAATTGAGCCACTGCTCTTCCACCAGTGATGTCTTTGGGCAGACATCACTAATAGATCCCAGAACTGTCCTCTCACTGTATGTCCAAATCCTTCTTAATTTTTAATGAAATCTCAGCTACTCCAATGAAGTGACCCATCATCCCAGACACGGCTCAGTCTAATCAGGTTTGCACTGATAGTCTAAACCAAGAGGAATGGTTTTGTTTTGTTTTTCTCAAATTATAGAGCATGCTCAAATTATAGAGCAAACTGGATGCCCAGTTTTTATTCAGATATTGCCGTTAAACTGGAGGAAACTCAGCCATCACTCTCGATATTAAGTCGGATCAGAAGTGGATAGTTTCTGAACTTTCGTTACTTCTGACTATTTTGAGAGATTGTAATCTTTTAAGCCAAAATTGATAAAATGAGGGACAGGAATTAGATGAATACCAGCTGCCAGTAAGGTGACAAATAGAAGCAACTGTAGTCGGGAGACCAAGAGGCAATCTTTGCCTTTGGGATCAAGAGATAATTACGAAAAATAGAAATGGAGCCACGGCCTAAGTGGTGGGAAGTGAGGGGGTGGCAGCGATGCATCAAAACCAGGAAGTACTAAAGGAGCCGGTGCCCCCTCCAAGAGCTACACCCTCTTTATATCTGCAAACAGAACCCCAGTAACTCAGGTGAGGCAACCTCCTAGCCTCAACACCGAATAGAATCCTGATTGTCTAAGCCAAACACGTACTCTCTTCACATTGAATGAGAAAAGGTATGGTCCTCCTGCAGAATTCCGGACAATCACTCCACTTGCAAAAGGAAAGGTATCAAAAAGCCATTGTTCTCACACACAATCAAAAGCAATCCAGGCTGGCATGGATAGTGCCTTCCCCACTCCCACCCACAGATGGCGGTGGGCGAGGGAAAGCTCCCGCATTTCCCAACTCTTAGGTGTCACTCTGACCCTTCCAGTTGTGTGGGGAAAGAACCGGACTCTTACACGGAGGCCTCCACCTCCGCCCAAATGTATTCCTGGTATCTGAGCCCACATCTAGCAAGGCTTTGTTTTCTTTAATGTGAATGCGTCCCCTGAGTTGAAAAAAAAAAAATCTCTCTCTTCTTCCAAGAACGTGGCAGTGTGTTATTATGGAAGAACAGATGTTAAGATGTTAAGAATAGATATCTAGTATAGGAGTGAAATCCAGAACAACTGGGAGGGGGAGGAGGGGGGTGCTGAGGGCAGGCTCACTGTGATGCAGGACTGCAGGGCCAGAGGGAGGAGCAGGGAAGGGATGCGGGTGGAACACCCAGGGCCTCCAGGCTGTCTCTGTGGGGTCATAGGGTTCATCCTCTGGCTAAAGTCTGTTAGCACTAAGGGCAGATCCGTTCTGCTGGGATAGCTGGACAGCGGGGCTACCATGTCCACTCGGAGTAGGAGCAACACAGTGGGAGGGGAAGGCCTCTCTCTGGAGACAGTAGGACCGGTCATTTCCTCACCTTTGCTTTGGAACCCTCGGAGGTAACTGAGAAAACATGTTCCCAAAGTGGCAGGGAGGGAGACAGGAGGGCCTGGCAGGGGCGATTGACTGACTTATTCGTGTCTAGCAACACAGCACTGCCAGCAGGAGCCAGGCCCCAGGTCCCTACTCCCTGCTTGCTCTGCCTCAGCACACTGAGATATACTGTGGCGAGCAGAACGCCAGGGAGGCAGAGCACAGCAGGGGCAGCTCCCCGTCCTTTAGAGGCCTCGCTTCACCCTCACAACCTCGCCATGGGCTGGACGTTTCTGAGTTTTACAGAAACCAGAGAGGCTTAACCAGCTTCATGCCCTACATTTATAATGACCACTCCATCAGCAAGAACAAAGGGTGGGGCGGGAGGGATGTGAGCCTTCTCCCTATGAGAACAGAAGGCAGACCTCACTAGTCACATGGCCACAAGAAAGACCAAAAAATGGAAACTCTGTGGGCATGTGCCGTGCAGCTGGCTAAATCACCACTTGCCTGGGGTGAAGGTCCTCCCAGAGCGCTACGATGATTTGAATCACCATTCCAGATGCACCATGCCCTGACTTGTGCCAGCACAGCCATCCCTCCAGACTCAGTTTACCCTCACTGAGAAGATGCTCCTACTTCTCCATGTTCAACAGCCCCTCCCTATATGGGACTCCTGGGATTTCTTCTGTTTCAGCTCTTGCTCTGCATTACTGTAGGATGCTTTCAGAGTCCCCCACCTACGTACAAGGATAGTTTGTTTGGCCCATACAGTATTTTAGAAAGAAAAGAGGCACAAACTTCTACCCATGGGCTGGGGAGATAGCCCAGTCTGCAATGTGGCCTGCACACATGAAGATTTGATCCCTGGAATCCACACTGGGAAGGCCAGGCATGATGATATCGGGGTCCAGCTCTGGGAAGGTGGAGATGGAAAGGCTGTTGGGGCTCTCTGGCCACCCTAGTCGAAAGAGCAATCTCCAGGCTAGTGAGAGACCCTGTGTCAATGCAAACAAACAAACAAGCAAATCAAATAAACAAACAAGGTGCTTGGGAGCCAGCAAGGTGGCTCTGGGTAAAGGTCCCTGCTATTCAAGCCTGAGATACTGAGTTTGATCCCCAGAACCCATGTAAAGGTAGAAGGAAAGGATCAACTCTAGAAAACTGCCCTCAGACCCCCACATGTATGTTGTGGCATGCATACCCATGCATGCATACATATATTAATAATACATTTTAAAATTTTAACAGTGAATGGTACCTGAGAAACGATACCCAGAGTTGACCTCTGGCCTCCATGTACACGCATACACTTGTGCACCTATACTTCTCTTGTACACCTGCACACACACACTCACACACAGTTATATGACTATACTTAAAAAGCTCAGGTAAACAAACGCCAGAATCACTCTGGCCTAGTAACAGTCAGCTGAGGCTAAGCTGCGCATTAATCCCTGGACAGCGTGCACACTCTATCACCACAGTGTCTGCCACCCCCTGGAGTCTCACACCCTACATACTTCCTGTTTCTTCTGCCTGCCTGGTCCCAAGAGGGCTCCCCATAGTAGCTCTCAGCCAGGCTTCCCTGAGAGCAGTGTGAGCCTCACCTGGGTGCGCTTGGCACACAGTGGGTGTGCAGAAGCCTTGGGTGTGAGAGCTGCAGTTGCATGACAGGAAAGGAACCAAGGATTCTAAAGAGGTACTTGCATTCTCCCTTTGGGTACCAGGTTGTTGCAACAACGGCCCCTAAGAAATTAGAGTTTCCCCTGGAGTTGTCTGGAGGAAGGAAGAAGCTGATGTCAGTGCTGGCCAGAGGGGAAACTTGTCACCACGGAAAGATTTCACTTGATTCTAACAAACGCCAGTGCATTTTGCAAGACCAGAGACGAGACACTGATTGGCCATAATGGGTGGGGGTCCACTCGTCCGGGATTTCATACCTCTTGTCCTCTATTCAATCCTCAACGTCTTGTTGGGACCCAAAGGTGGACTTGGTAGGGGCAGTCACTGTCCCTCTTCCAATGTGGCCACTTTTTTCTTGTCACCTATCTGTTTGACTTGGGCCTATTGAGGAGAGGTTGTTGAACCAGCATGTTAGGGTTGCCAGGATCCAGGCTCTGACCCTGATAGCTCCAGTAACAACAGGGCTTCTGGGCTGGCAGAATTTATCCAGACAAATGCCAGGCAGAAGAGAATCCCCCCCCCCCCATCATTTTGTTGACCACCAAAGGGCCCCACGTGGAAGGCAGCTGAAGTTGAAGGGGCTGCTACAGACGATGGCATGGGACCCTCCCTGTTAGAGAACTTAGAGGTAAAGCTTGGGACCTTGGCCTGCTCAAGGCTCACCTCCGTTGTGGAAAAGCGACTGAGAAAATGTAACAGAATCTAATAGGCCTAGTTCACCTGGGGCCTTGGGGCTGAGGTTCCCATTTCAGGTGCTGACTGCCTAATGAGCCCGTGTGGACAGGTTGCTGGGATGAACAAGGCAGTGACTGTTTCCTGTGGCTTCCTGCCATATGATCCAGTCCCATCCATCCTCCTTGGTGAGACCTCTGGGTAGTGCCCTGCCTTTCCTGTCTCTGGCTGGAGGATAACGATGCTGGGTTGCATTGTGATTTCTGATCTTGGGGACATGGGACAGGCTTTCTTTCCTGTCACAGATAGGGAAAGAGTGGAAGGAAGACCTTCTAACAAATGCCTGCACTTCCTCTGCTTCAACAGAGGTCAGGGTGAGGAATGAGAGCAATAGATCAGGAGGCAGCCTTTGGAATCAGGCCAGAGACTGACATTAGTCTAGTGACCTCTTATGGTATTGCTGAATCATGGGGCCTTTTGTAGTACAGAACTGGGAGGGACCTGTTCTCAGAAATC